GGGGAAGAAATATCCAGATGCATTAGAAGATGGCTCATTGGGATGGCCCTTCCCCCAGAGAATGCTGTGAGGATCCAGGTGGCCAAAATTAGATAATACCTTCTTTTCACAAGTGGGCTGAGGCTGGGCTGGCTTTGTCTTGGGCTCAAAGCTACTGCTGTCATACAGGAAATCAAACTTACTGGGACCTGTAAGGGAAAGATACCCAGCCAGTGTGAGGGAGAAGACTGCTACTTCCCCTACCCTCCCAGTCTGCCCAGCCTCTCCGTCCAGCATCCATCAGGGTCCAAAAATAACTGAATCATCCCAGAAAGCAAGAAACTTCACAGGAATGACAATTCCCTTATCTGGCAATATACAGCAACAAGCACCCATCTGCCCAGCTCCCCCTAAGCCACCCTCTACCCATTTAAGGAGGTGAGAATATACCTTCCTCAGGAGGCTCCTGAAGACCAGTTGTTCTCAAGGAGCTAGGCAAGGAAAAGTTTCTGAACTGAGCCGAGAGTTCTTCCTGGCCCAGCCTAGGTTCCCTGAGGCCAATACATCTGGGAACTGGGCCATCAGGGCCGGGGAGAACGTGTCTCCTTAGTGCTGGAAAGAGTCAGCAAGAATAGTCAGGTCAGAGGGGATAGTTCAGATTGACAGAGTCCTCCCTGAGGTTTTAGAGGTCAGAGAAGAATTCTGAAACTCCTGGGACATCTCCTTCCCATTTTTCCTTCTGCATTTCCTTTCTGGACTCCCTCCAGGATCTACATTTATGCTGATCTTCCATCCGGAGCATAAATCACTCCTCTGCTTGAATTATTTCAGTATCAGGGAAGTATTGACCTATTCACAGTGTAGCCCCAGCACCTAGCACTTTGTTTAATGGCAATGTTGGTAATGATTATAAGCATAATAAGAGCAAGAATTTAAACTGATAATTACCAGGCACTTATTATATGCTAGGCATTGGTCTAAGTCCTTGACATATATTAGCTCATTTAGTGTTCCTAAGTAACCTCTACAATGGAATTTATTATTATTACACCATTTTCTAAAGAAAGAAACTGAAACATGGGAAAGTAAAAAGTGGCTTGTTCAGGGACACAGGGCTATATGCATAGAACTGGGGCGTGAACCCTTATAATCTGACTTCAGAGCCTCAACCACTAGGCTATATGGCTTCTGTACCATGGCACATAACACATACTCAATAAAGATTCACTTCATGGATGAGTGACAGAATGATTGACCGGAGAATCACCTAACTTGATGAGGGTCAGGCAGGAAGCCACACCCAGGATTCTAAAGGACTCTGGACTTGGGAGCTCCATGGGAGGTGATGGGAGGACAGGGAGGGACACAGAAGGGCAGGTGTCGCCCACACCCTGGGTGGACAGAACTTCCCCACATTCCCCTTCCTCTGACTTCAGATAGGAAAGGCAAGGAGCTGCCGATGGCTCTTTTCCTGAGGTGTGTCCAGAGAGCTTCCTGGCCTAGAGAAACTCCCAGCCTAGCCCTCCTGCTCCAGGACTGAGAACTCACAAGAGTGCGGGTGCCACCAGGGAGAAGAGAGGAAATGATCCAGGGGACTGCGCCAAGAGCAGCGTTCTGCTCGTCGAGGTCCTGCTGGCAGGGATGCCTGGAAGTGAATCTGCCTCGCCAGCTGCAGTGCCAGCACAGCCAGAGTGCCCTGGGAAAGAGCACATCAGGACATGGTCCCCCACCAGTCATCTCCTTCAGAGCTGGCCTTCAGCTCCCCCATCATTTCCTCGGGAAGCCTTTCCCGACTCCCACTGGGCAGCTCCCCTGCTCACAACATGCAAACTTTTCCTCTTGTACTTAATAAGCATCACTACAATTACTCATCTAAGGTCTGTTGCTTCTGTTAGCATAACAAAGGCAGGGACTGTACATGCTTTGCTCACCAATGTATCCCTGGTTCCCAGCACAGTGCTAAGCTATCGTATGGGCCTAATAAATGCACACTAAATAAATGCACAATTAGTAACTGAACAAAGAAAATCTAGGTAAGCAAAAAGATGATGCAGTAAGTTGGAAATGATGCATATTTCCAGCTGCAGGCTTGTGGAAGGTGTCTCTTTCTCTGACAGGTCAGCAAAAGACCTGAGCTACCTCTTAACCCAGTGCCTGCTTGGTTTTCCCTGTCTCCACCCCTGTCATGCTCAGGGAGGGATGCCCAAACACTTGTTTGTTGCAATAGGTACTGTGCATATGATGGCAAATAAGACAGACCTACCTCTACCTGGGGAAGCTTATATCTTGTATAACCCAAGAATAGAGAAAAAGAAATACAATAACTTGCAATTATGCTAGATGCCAAAAACAAAACAAATTGTGAGGTTACAAAGAATGTAAGAGGAAAGCCTGATAAGGAGTCACGAAAAGCCTTCCTATGGGGGTGATGTATGAACTAAGTTCAGAAGAAAAAGAAGGCAGCAGTACTGTGAAGAAAGGGACAAGTATCCATCGCATTGGGGACAGCTTGTATGTAGGCCCTTTCATATGGACAGTAGTACAGAGCCCAGCGATGATACAAGGCCCTCTGGAATCCAGGCCTAGTTCACAAAAGGACTTGGTGTGGAACTTTACTAGTGCTCAGATCTTTGACAAAATGGAAAAACGTTCTCCTCTCTAGGGTATATGGCCCTAGTCTGTAAAAACCCAGAGAATGGTATCCCATCATAGAAATATTCCAGACTCAGCTGATGACACCAATTTACAGGTTAAAAAAAAAAAAAATGAGGGGCTGGGGTTATGGCTCAGTGGTAGAGCGCTTGCCTAGGCACTGGGTTACCTGTGTTACCAGCACCACATATAAATAAAGAACAAAATAAAGGTACATCAACATCTAAAAAAAAATATTTTAAAAAAATGAGGCTCAAAGAGGTCAGGTCAATTGCCTAAATGCATAGCATGAAAGTAGTGGGGATGGGATGTGATAGACACAAGTGATACATGTGTCAACTTCATTCACAATACCTTATAAGCTGAACCTCTACCTGAAAATTTGCCCCAAAGACAAAGGTTCTTCCCTATTATACTTAGTGTTTACTACGGAGCACCTAACTTTCTAGATTCTGTAGTAGGTACTTTTACAAGTCATAGTAGCTGAAGTGATACAGCCTGAACTCCAGAGTTAAATCGGGAGTAAATACAGTGACTTGGAAGGCTGAGACAGAAGAATTGTAAATTCAAGGCAGTTTCAGCAACTTAGTGAGATAGTGTCTCAAAACAAAAAATTAAAAGGGCTGGGAAGGGAGGTTGATGGTAAAGGACCCCTGGGTTCAATCCCCAATACCAAAAAAAAAAAAAAAAATTACATTTTTCTTTGTGTAAGATTTTTGCAATGATGTTAAACAAAATAACACATGTATAATAGTTTACATTAGTATGTAATGATATTTATTATTATTTACTGTAAGCTCCATGAAAGCAAGAATTACATCTACCTTGTTCTCTGCTACGTCCCCTAGTGCCAAGAAAAAATGCCTGGCTCAGAGGTTTTAGATAAATGTTTACTGAATAAAATGAGGGCTAAGTACACACCAAGGGTACAGGGTGTGACACTACCTCCATAAATATACTCCAGTGTCATGAGTTCCTCATTGTGTAGACACAATGATGGCCTTGCTCTCCTTTCTAGACCTGGCTACTCTTCCATGCAGGATCATTCTCATCCAAGCTGAAGGTAAAGGACAGGATTGGGGATGCCTTACCCATGAGATGGCATCCCACAGGGTATTTGGGGAGACACGAGCAGACATCCACTGGAAGACATTCTTCCATCCATGGGACTTTGGGCCCCTGCTTGTACTCGGACCATGGTGGCCTGCCCTAGATGATATAATTAGAAACTATCAAGTTCTGTCCAAAACGGGGGCAAAGGAAGGCCAGAGGAGAAGATGGGTGACAGAATGGCAGTGTCTCACCTGTCAAGGTTGGGCAAAGGGACCAGCAAGGTGGAGGAGGTCGCTTGAGGCACATCTGAGCTGTTGGTCTTGGGGGTCACACCCCGGAGGTGAGGTCCCAACAGACGGGGAAGTGCTGTGCAGAGCAACAAGGATCAGTTACTTCAACAGGAACAAGACGGAAGCCAAGTGGCCCCAACAAAGTATTATCTCAGGAAACACAGGAATCACTGGCATCTGCCTCTACAGTGTTTTCTTATTTCTTTTTTTTTTCCCTTTTCTTTTCTTTCTTTTTCTTTTTTTTTTTTGCATGCTGGTGATTGTATTCAGGCCTTCATCCATATTAAACAAGCAGTCTACCACTAGCCACATCCCCAGCCCTTGCACTGGTTCTCATGGAAATCTTTAGCCTAGTGGGGATTCTAAGGTGCCACCCCAGAACCAAAAAAGAAGGCTCTCAGGATGAGCATCTACACTCTGAAAAAGTTCACCCAGGCGATTCTAATGCCTTCTATGGGTGACAACCTTTGCTCTATGGCCACATATCCACATTTGGAGTCTCTAAATCTCTCCTTTGTTCATTGGTTTCACTACTCCACAGCCTCTAGTTCTTTCATTGACTCCTCCCCTTCCTAGAGCTCCACCCATTTCCTTGGGTCTAAGCTCCACCTTCTTCTCACTTTGCTGCACAACTCAAATTCCAACATCACCTGACTTCTTAGACGTAGCCCCGCCTCCTTAAGGCCCCGCCTTCCTCCAGTCTAGCCCCGCCCACTGTCGCTTTGGCAGTTTCCTTGCGCCCCTTCCCTCCAATTCAGAGTCTCTGCGGCCTTTGGGCGCTAGCAGACGGGCTGCCCCTTACCTCGGCCCAGGAGACCCGTCAGTCGCCACATGTCGCCAGCACCATAGAGACCGCGCAGCCGAAAAAGCCAGGCCAAACCATGGGACAGCCGCTAGAGAGGCCGCTGTGGTGTCCCAAGTGGGGAAATCCCCACGCGACTCTTGAGCTCGCCAATTAGAAAAGAGCTCCACCGGAAGAACGGCCCTCAGCGAGAGGAAGTGGAGGATGTGGGCGTATCTGGGGCCAGTCGGGAGGTGAACCGCGACAAGGGCATGGGGGTATAGACCCAGGAAAGAGCTGTCATTTGCTACCCCCACTGGAGAGAGGACAGCGCGCCGACCCGGGGATCGCAGGTGGCCATTGTGGCAGGGCTGGAACGACTGCGGTGGAGCAAGAGGACCTTGTAGACACCGCGGAGCCGCCGAAGAGGAAAAGACTCCCCAGGCCCAGAGGCTTAAGGAGGCCAAGTGGATCTAGGCCGGAGGAGAAGAGCCTTAGGGCCCCACAGAAGAAGCTAGCAGTCCCAGCTTCCCGCTCGAGGCCATCGTTTAGCGATGCCAGGCCCCGACCCCACCGTAGGCCTTGAGAAATGCACCAGGCAGGGTTTCAATTCTTAGATTCTAACTGTGGCTCAGCTTTGTCGCACTGTGTAGCCTAAGGCCGACTCCTTCCCTTATCAGGGCCTCAGTCTGTGTACCACGATGGGGTCAGGTGGAATAGTCTCCCCTGGTTCTTCATGGTTTAACAGGCTGAGACTCTGATTTGCTCCTTTCAAAATCCCAAGAGCAGCCAGCCACACGCCCTGTTAATCAGAGCCCTTGTCTGCAGACCCAGCCAATGTTAAGTGTGTTCTTTTGAGAGAAATAGCTGTCCTTTCACTATATTTGAATCCATTAAATAAAAGAGCTCAAATTAAAATATAAGATATTCAGACTTAGACTTCTTGTCCTCTTCCCCCTTTTCAGTGAGTGTAAGTCTCTAGGGTGAGAGAGTACTGAACTTAACTACTTTTAAACCCAGGCATGTGGTACGAAATTTGTATTCATTTTTTAAACAGTTTTTGAGCCAAAAGTCAGCTGCCATTCTAGGATCTGAGAAATCAGTTGAATAAGGAGCTTCTGTGACCTTCAGGAATACATGGTCCAGTGGATTAGAGTGGATGATGGAGTCCCACAAATCTGAGTTTGATTCCCAGCTTTCTCATTTTCTAGCTTTATTATATTGTGCAGGTTCCTTAATCACACCAAGCCTCTTCTTCTTCATCTATAAAATAGAGAAAGTAATACCTCATGCAATTGTTGTGAGGCTTAAATAAAATAAAAGTTTAGCATAGTTCCTGGCACGTAATAATAGCCCAATCAATGTAAATTGCTATTATGGTTGTGGAGGAGGTGAGTAGGCAAATGTATTAGATAACATTGTAATAGAAGCATGAGCAATGGGTTGTGGGATGTACCATGGAAAGATTCAGAAAAGTGGTTGCATTTGAGCTGGGTCTTTAAATATAAGTAAGAATTTATGAGATAGAGATGAGAAAAAATAATTGTAAGCAGAAAAACTGTGAATAAAGGTCCAGGAGTTTGAATATTGGAGAACTATTCAGAAATAACTTGATTTGAAATTTGGGGCAGTTACCTTTCATATTCCTTGTGTTGGCTGCCTCAACAAGTGCTCTGGTTCAGCTGTGTTCTTCCTGGGACTTCGATGCCCTTCCTTTCAACCTGTCTGTACTTGGCTTTCTTTTCCAAGGGTCAGCCCAATCCTCAACTTTTTGAGACCTCCCTGCTTTCTGCTTTTCCCATTTCTTGTAGCACTTAATTTCTTACTACATGGTTTAGCAGTAATTACATGTTGTCCTGTTATTTAATTACCTCATTTGTGTAAGTCTAGTCTCCCCAGTTCTCCAGGGCAGAGATAGCATTTTCCCATTTTGTGTCCTATATGGGGCTGACATAAACTCAGTCCACAGAATATGTTCAAGCAATGCCTGTTGACGACCAGATACCTTGTGCTGATAGTGATATAGCCACATGTACCAGAGCCCAATTATGGGATTTACTGATTTGAATGGAAATGTCTTCACTCCACATCCACACGTTATTGAGTGTTCTCTCTGTTTGAAGCTAGTTAAAAGGTTTTGAAGGAGAGGATCTGAGAAGACACATGTGTAAGGTGCTTGTTGCCATGTATAAAATGGCGTTATGGCATCTTGTTGCCAGAGAACAAGGGATAGATGTCAGGGGCAGCTGGCCTCCTCACTGGCATAACAGGAGCACTGTCAGGAAAGGCAACTTTGTTTCCTTGAGCTTTGGATTTGCCTGAACCGCCCAGGTTCCAAACCATCAGCCATTCTCTTCTATTCCCCAAACTGTGGTTGGATTGTGGCACAGAGTCAGGTTGATTCAATTCCTCTTCAAAGGTAAGCTATCTTACACTGGGAACCTATTGTCAAGGTACCCATTTAATCACCTCTTGTGATAAATACTCATGCTACTCTGTATACAGTGAATGTTCTAGACTTTTGTTATTGCTTTCGTTTTTGTAGACATTCTTAATTTTCGTTAATCAAGTATATGAGAGCTTAATTCAGTATTAGAGTGTTCTGAATGTATAACAACTTTAAAAATGGCTGTGGTCCCTGCCCTCACAGAGAAAATAGTGTAGTGGGGCAAAGTCAGTAGGCAATTAAAATACAGAATGGTGTTTTATTTATTTATTGCAACACAATAAATAGTGCAACAATCATTTTATTAATCTCTCACAGTTCTGCAAGTTGACTGGGCTCAGCTGGGCAATTCTGCTAGTCTCTCTTGGGGTCTTAAGAGGTTGCAGTCAGATGGCAGCAGAAGCAGGAGTTGTATGTAGATAAGTGGTGCACTGGAAAGACAGGGCCTCATTTTCTCTCCATATAGTCTCAGGGCCTCTCTGCTCTACATGGCCTCTCCAGCTGGGTAGCAGAACTTATGGGATGGCTCAGAGCTTCCGAAATTACCAAAGTGGAAGCTGCCAGGCTCCTTAAAGCTTAAGCCTAGAACCAATATGGCATCACTTCTGTACTCTGTTGTTATAGCAGTTTACAAGGCCAGTTCAGAATCAAAGTGAGAGTGAAAGACATAAGGTGGGAAGTTGGTTCTTTGGATACCACCAACTTCTACAGTGTGGGGAATGTACAGGTGCTATTGGAGTTGGGCACGGTGGCACACACCTGTAATCCCAGCAACTCAGGAGGCTGAGACAGAAGGATCTTGAATTTAAAGCCAGTCTCAGCAACTTAGCTAGGCCCTGCCTCAGAATAAAATACAAAAAAGACTGGGATGTGGCTCAGTGGTAGAGTGCCCCTGGGTTCAATCCCCAGTACCCAAAATAATCTCTCTCTCTCTCTCTCTCTCTCTCTCTCTCTCTCTCTCTCACACACACACACACACACATACACACACACACACAGCACTATTCGAACAAGGAGAGACCCAGACCTAGGCATGGAAGTTGGGAAGACTCCGAAGCAGCTGCATCTACAATGACCAACCTGAATGGTGAGGATTAGGAACTAGCCAGGTGATGATGAAGGGAAGGTACAGTACAGGAAAAGGAAATAGCTGATGCAAAGTCCCAGGGAGACACAGAAAACACAGCTTCGCAAAGAAAGCACAACTTAAGATCACTGTGAGCCAGGCGTGGTGACACACACCTGTAATCCCAGTGGCTAGGGCAGCTGAGACAGGAGGATCTCAAGTTTAAAGCCAGCCTCAGCAAAAGCAAGGTGCTGAGCTAAGACTGTGAGATCCTGTCTCTAAAATAAAGTACAAAATAGGGCTGAGGATGTGGCTCAGTGGTCAAGTGCCCCTGAGTTCAATCTCTGATTAAAAAAACAAAACAAAACAAACAAAAAAAAACAATTACTGTGGTTATAGGGGGTCAGAGTTGGCATGAGGGGTTGGGGGCATAGAATAGTTGACACTCCTTTCATCTGAAGCCGTATGGGGCCAGGTCATAAGGCCCTAGAGTTGTCTGGACTTGGTCAGAGGGCAAGGAACACCTAGGAAGGGTTTTAGCAGAGGAGTAACCAGGCCAGAGGAACAAAGAAAGGACTTTGGCTACTGTGTGGGGGACAGATTGGAGAGAGAAAGTCTTCATTTTCACTGTCTCTTCTAGGCCAGTGGCTTCACCTTCATCATTGAGAAGGCTTGGTCATCACCTCAGCACTGACTTGGGTTCTTTAGATGTTTTTTTATTAGTGGGGATTTTTTTTTTATATAGGAATGCAAATTCCTTTATACAAATGTTTTGTTTTGTTTCATTTATTTTTAAAAGGACATGTAGAAAACCTGCTACCTGGCAGGGATCTGGACATGGGCTTGGTCAGACAGTCAAACAATTTCTATTTAAGTGTGCAATGTGTTAAGGAAGAGCCTGCTGGTAGGGATCAGGGAGCATGCCAAGTTCAGTAGATTTGACCCCTCAGATGAAAAGATATATAAAATTTAAATTATCTTTTCATTACCAATGAAAAGATAATGTAGGGGAGGGCATAGAAGGTCATTGAAAGAGCTACTACTCCAGTAAGAAGTCAAATAGTACTAAAGGTTTATATCAAACCCAGCAGACTTCGGCTCCCTGCTCTCCAGTCTCTAGTTCTGCTCCCCAGAGGCAACCATTGTCAACCCTTTGAAAATGTCAGGAGGCAGAAGGGCAGAGGCTCTGAAACTGGCGTGTCTCACATCCAACGTAGCTCTCCTAAAGACCAGCCAGGTTATCTTGGTCAAGTTAATTATAATAGTTCCCTCAGTTTTCTCATCTGTAAGATGGAACAGTGCTGTCAATGAATAGTAGCTGCATGTGATGCTGATGATAGATGAGGACTAACTTGAGAGGCGCTATGAGCATACTCTGATGTTAGTCATATACTATACAAATAAACATAAGGCCTGATTATGGCTTCGAGGAAATGACAAGGACATGGACTCAGTTGGAGAGGTCTGAGTCTTCCCCTTCTTCTAAGGTCAAACCCTGTTTATTCTCAGGCCCATTCCCTTCCTGTCTTTTGTAGAACCTTGTTGCTATTATTATCCTTTTCCTCATGCTAAAGCATACATCTCTTTACTAGATATTTTTTTCTTTCTGCCTATGAAATAGACCAGGGCTTACTTAGGTGAGAAGCTCTTTACTTGATCCTCCTGCCCTTTTCTGCTCCTATTCTGTTCATTTCTGTCTACCACCAGATTTCTTAGTCAACACACATTCTGCTTCCCAGTTCTATACAACTTCCTTGCTCTTCATCCATGTCTCCCAGCTTTTATCCTTGTTCTTCTGATGCAGGGTCACAAGATCATCAAAGCTCACCTCATTAATCCCCAGTGGGCCTTTGGATCCAGAGCACTTGACTCAACTCCTTAAATTTTACATACAGAACCTCATCATCCTGCTCCTTCGTTTTCTATTGTATCAATTCTCTAAGCCATCCAGGCAAGAAAGAGGGGTGACTCAATTCCCCTGTGTCCCTTCCACGCCCACATTAGTTTTGACTCTCACTGCAAATGCTAGAAACTCATTGAGGATAGCTTTTGAAAAGCTTTACCAGGATACCAGGGTAGCAGGGGGGATATCTAATGAACCCCACGATCAGGATAGAGCTGGCAGCCAGGAAAAACTAGAACTAGAGACTCAGGAGTCAACAAATTGAGCAATCTGTCTCTCTCTCCCTCTCCCTCTCCTTCCTTCTTTCCTTCCTTCCTTCCTTGTGGATTTCTTGTGATCTGCACAGACACCCCAAAGGTGTCAGATACTCCCACACCCAGCTAGTCACCAGGTCCTATTAAAAATCACCCTCTTGCGTCAGGGCTGGAGTCTCCTCTGCAGTTTCCCTTGTACTGCATCTTGCTTGTTTGTTTACCATCTGATCATTTTTCTGTCTCTGTTATTGCTTCTTCCTTCTTCTGACCCCTAGCGCAAGCATCACATTTCAGTTCTTTGCTCTTTTCTGAAGCTCCCTTTTGTTTTTTTTTTTTTTTGACTCCTAAATAAGAATATAGTGATTAAGAACTTAGGTTCTAGAATCCTAATGGCCTGTATTTGAATCTTCCACTACTTTCTGATTGTGTAAACTTGGGAAAGTTACTTGAATTTGTGAACCTTAATTCCTCCTCTGTGAATTGAGGTACATATAAAGTGCTTAGTTGGCACAATGTCCAGCGCACAGAAAGAACTCAATCGGTGGTAACAATGATTAGCCTTACCTTGTCCTCTTTCCTGAGTTTTAGTCCTAGATCCCCTGCTAGCCTTTTCCCTTAGATGTTCTGCTGAGATCTCATATCCACCTGTCAGAATTCTCCAGATACTGAGGGAAGATGCACCTTTCCCCAAGAGAATTGAGGGTAGGAGGCCTGAAAAAGATGGATGGTCTCATCAAATTCTCGAAGGAACCTGACCTTAGTCAGGCCTCAGGAGAAAAGACTCCAAAGAGCAGTGCTCCTGTAAGCCCCCAAGTCCTGTGCTGGCTGACTCTTGGGACTCAGGAGGGCAGGCAGAGCTGCCATTAGAGGCACATGGAGGATGGGAATCCAATCTAAAACAACGGGGTGGTGAGAGATGTCGCAGGATCTTCAGTGCTTCAAGAGTGTGTGAAAAGTGTGAGCTGCATCCTCAGGGCATTGTGCCAGGCTCAGGCTGGGGCCTCCCTCAAGTGCTGGGGTTTTGGTGCACTTCTGGAGGCCAGAAGCACTCCTGTTTTTAGCTGAGCTATTACAGATCCCCTTTGCACCCTTGTGAACATTCATCACCAAGTCCCACGGGTAGAGTGTACAGCTTTCTAGGGCCCAGCAGCCCTGCTCTACTGGCCTGCTCTCTGCTCCCAGGTGGAGACATTTCTGCAACAGGAATCTTGGAGGGCAGTGCTCTCCTCCCACCAGCACAGAGATGGGGAGTGGGGCAGGGAGGCTGCCCTGCCAAATAGTTCAGCGCTCTGACTCTGAGTCAGAATGTGCCTGTGCATCCTGCCTTTGCCATTACTGTCTTTGTGGTCCTAGGTCAGTCAGTTAACTTCTCTGTCTCCTCTGTACTGCAGGGATGATGAAGGGCTGGGGATATAGCTCAATTGGTAGAGTGCTTGCCTTATATGACCAAGGCCATGGGTTCAATCCCCAGCAACACAAAAATAAACAAACAAAAAAATGGAGATACTGAAGGGGTGGTAATTCAATAATGAGTCTAATTGTTGAATTTTAGTAAGATAATGCAGGGAAAGCACTCAGTTTTATTCACTTACATGATCTGAACCCTAGGGCCCTGGCCTTGCAGGAATAACAACCCCCATTCCACACACACACCCTGACTGCCATCTCTATCCCATCTGTTTAGTCCTCTGTTTACATATCTGTCGTTGCCTTTGGATGATAAGCTCCATTAAATCAAAGAACTGTATGGGTCTATGTCCCTTGTGTCCAGCATAGGACTTGGTATATGGATGATCTTAATACTTGTTTATTGGAAGGAAGTGGTGAAACAATATAGAAGACTCAGGATTCATTCGGCCTCAGAGTCCCATCATCCACTCTAGTTACTCCCCATAAGTGGAGGGCCTAGGTCCCTCGATGTCCTAGAAGCTGGAGATACCACAGCAAATGCAACAGACTGAGCTCCTAGCCTGGTGAACTGTCCAAAGGGTGAAAGACATTAATCGCTTAACAAAACCAATGCTACATTTCAACTGGGAAACTTGCAAGTAAGGAGAAACCTGCTGCTGTGACAGCATAGAACAGGAGGATCACTTTTGGGGGAGGAAAGAATTGGAAGGAATTTGCCACACCATGTAACAAGTAATGTAGGCCCAAAGAAAGGATAGGCTGTAGGTTAGGGATGTAGCTCAGTATTAGAGTACTTGCCTAGCATGTAAGAGGCCCTGGGTTCAATCCCCAGCAAAACACAAACACACAGAGGCTTGGTTGAAGCAGAAGGTGAAAAAAATCTTTCAGGCAGAGGGAATGTGCAAAAGTCCTGAGGCTGAAAGTACTGAGTCTGCTGGATGGAAAACAAGGCTTATGTGACTAGAACCCTATAATGGAGGAATTCAGTGGCCTCTAGAAGGTTGCAGAGCTGGGAGCACAGGTTATGCAGAGCCTTTTTTTTTTTTTTTTTTGAATGATACTAGTTAAAATTTACTCAATTTTATGTATATGTGCACTGTGCTAAGTACTTTGCATGCATGTTTTCTCAGTTACTTTTCACTTTTTTGGTGCTATTATTCCCATTTTACAGGTGAGGAAAATCCTGACTTAGGAAGGTAAACTTGCTCTGGATCACACAGATGGTGCTAACGTAGTTGGGATTTGAACCCACCCGTTAGGGCCCAACATCTACCTTCTTAATTCCTGCACCGGGTCTAAGAATTAAGTGCGGACTTCCATCTTTGGTGCACATTCCAGCTTTGCTACTTGTCGCTGATGCTTATCCTCCAGACTGGAGGAACCTAGGTATACCTTTGTCCTGGTCAGACGTGCTCTCCGTGCTCTCTCCAGTGGCAACTGCCTGTAGAGGTGGCCAGAGTTGCCTGGTTTGGGCTCCCGTCCACGTGACCAACCAGGCGCCGCCTTGCCAGTGCGGTGCAGTGCGACGGGTGCTGCCGCTGCCACCGCAGCTGTGAAATCTGGAGACATCCCACCCGGGAGCCACCCCGGGTTGGGCAGGGAGGGGCGCCCGGCAGCCTCCGGCAGAGGGCTCCCTCCCCGCGCTCCCAGGACTGAGCCCGCAGCCCTGTGCCTGCTTCACGTCTCCTCCAGCGTTGAGGGGGAAAGCAGCGTTCATTTCTGATTAAAAACGACTCTTTTAAAATGGGCTTCATTCTTTATTTCTTTTCGTCCTCTCCCAGGGCCAGAAAGAGGCGGAAAGCGACAACGAGAATCCATTCCAAACGAGCAGCCAAGAGAAGACGCGGCAGCTCCCAGATGTTGATGTTTTGTTTTTTGACATAAATCTTTGCACTCATATGGGAGTTTTCATTGATTCATGTTCCCATCTGCTGAATTTCCTTTTATTTATTTAATATGGCTTTTTGGGGAAATCTTGCTCTGAAGCTCTGGAGGAGCATAAACTGTAGCAACCGCTGCACCCCTCCTCCCTCCTCCAAACCTTGGCTGCTGGGGGCCAGAGCTTCAGTGCCTGCAGAGAGGCCGCTCCAAGCCTTCCTTGCTGGGGGGCAGGTGCCCCAGACCGTGTTAATGTGGCCGTTCCCCTACTTGGGGCCTGCCAGAGGCTGCCAACGCTAGAAAGAACAAGCCGCCCTCCCTGGTGCTGGGGATTGAACCCAGGGCCTTACCTAGGCTAGGCAAGGCTATACCATTGAGCTTCAACACAGCCTTACTCCCAAGAAAGCAACCATGAGGGAGACAGATGGGGTGGAGTGTTCTTCATCCTCACTGTACCCAAATACCATGTTTCCTTCATGTGAAAACATTCGTTCTAATTACGACTGGGAAGCCAGAGAACATCTAACAATGGTTGTTCTATTAAATGTAGTAGTTTACCCTACCCCCCCACATACACACCTGCTTTCCAGCACCCCAACAATGATACTTTGGTAATTATCAATTCTGACTCTGGAGTCAGACTGTCTGGGCTTGAATCCTGAATCCTGATTCTGCTTTCCATAGCAAATTCCTGGGCAAGTTCACTTCTCCAAGCCTCAGATTCTGCATCTGTAAAATAGGGATAATTACTACTTCTTTCTCAGACATAGGCACACTTTACAGATGAGAAAACTGAGACTGAGAGTAGTTAAGAGATCTATCCAAATGATCCTTACCCAATCCCACCACCTTGCCCTCCCACCAGTGCCCCCTCTAGCTTCTCCCCTGGGGTTCCAGGATAGATCATAAACCTGACAGAGAGAGGTACTTTCTTTACCATGAGGCAGAAAAAAATTCAAAAAGTTGATTCAGAATGCCAGACACTTTAGAACAATTTCCATTTGTCTTTGGAATGTAGGCCCAGATTGGGAAAGGACCTAGATGTCATCTTGTCCAGTCTTTTACCTATGCAGACCTCCCAGACAGGCACAGCTTCTTCTAGTGGAAGATGACTCTGGCATTAGGAGACCTACAGACCACTGTATAGAACTATTGGGATGTAAGCAAACACAATTTCCACAGACCAAGTCCCTTAAGATGTATTGTTGTTAAGGCCCCAGGCTCTTACATACAATCCTGAGTAGAATGGAGATCACTTGCAGTGGAAAGCCATCCCATAGCACCATCCTTTGTGGGTCCACATTCCTTCCCTATGTAGATTCCTTCAAATCCAACCTTCTCTGCGCATGCTAAGTGAATATCTCCTTGCTGAGGAGAATATGGCTGGATATCTGAGACTGATTTGATTCTAAGCTCACCGTGTTTGACCACATGCCTTTAGCCTTCATTTACGAGTGCCATGTCTGTAATACCTTACACATACATTAAACCTTACTCATACTCCCACACTCTCCCAGCTGGATCTCAGACATAGCAACAATCTGACCTCAACCATGCCCCCTATAACAAGGCAGTAGAGGATCCTTGATTTCTAATGACCATATGGAACAAGGCTGCATGCTGACCTGAAACACTCTTCGGGTCATTATGTGAGGGGGAAAATGCATTTCTATTATTTAAGTTACTGAGGTATTACTGGCTTCCTAGTTATACCAGTTGGATATAACTTAATTTTTAAAAGAGGGTAGACAGTGAGTTGGTCAAGAGCATAGGTTTTGAAATCAGATGGATTTAATATACTTTCAGCTCTACCCTCTTTGAACTAGTGACCCTAAGTTACTAAGGAACTGAGCCTTGGTTTCCTCATCAGTAGGATGAGAGGAATAAGCACAACATCACAACCCCTTTGGAAAACAACCTTTGGACTTGTCCATTAAAGCTGTTAAGATACTAATAGTCTTTGATATTGTGATTCCAGTATTAATCATATGCCTTAGGGTTTTGAACCCCAATACACCAAAACTCATGCATAAGAATGTTCATAAAGTCCAAAAAAGGAATAGAAGTCAAATCCCTTCTATTGTGAATGGAAAGATCACTTGTGGTATTTTACACAGGGAATGTGCAGCAATAAACCTCAATTAACTTCAGATACATAAAACAACCTAAATTTATTAACTTCACAAAAATAAGAGTAAGTTTAAAAACTCAAATAACGTATACAGTGTGATTCCATTCACTTATATTTCAAAAATAGACAAAACTATATCATTTAGGAATGCATACATAAGTAATAAAAGTATAAAGAAAGCAAGGGGCCTGGGGCTCTGTGGTGGATCACTTGACTAGCATGCACAGGCTCCTCCTTAGCACTACACACACACACACACACACACACACACACACACACACACCAAAAAAAAAAAAAACAAAGGAATGTTCATCACAGATATATGAATAGGTGCTTTTTAACTTATTGTGGGACATAATTATTTATTAAACTGTGCATGGACATGTTTTAGACAGTGTGTGTGGTGCCTGAGAACTGAATGAGGCAACATGTAAAACACTGAGCATCACTTCCAGGTGGTTGTAGTAGATGCTCAAAGGAGTTGATTTTTTTTTTTTTTCATGTCAAGGGAAGAATTTAAGGGCTTTGAGAGAATTTCATACAATTAGCCAATGATACCATTAAGAAAAGATTCTATTTTTTCTTTGAAGCTTATTGACTGCCTATTTTTTATTTATTTATTTATTTTTAGTTTTCAGTGGACACAACATCTTTGTTTGTATGTGGCGCTGAGGATGGAACCCGGGCCTCACGCATGCCAGGCGAGCACGCTACCGCTTGAGCCACATCCCCAGCCCTGACTGCCTATTTTTTGTAGCTTCTGTGTATACATGTGTGTATTTACATAGGTGGGAAGTATTGATTGATTTAGGATTAATTGATAGTCATAAACTCAGTGCAGAGTTAGAAAACTTCATTCTGCCCCTCAGAGAACACACAGAGGGAAGGGAGAGAAATCAAAGAGGTTGGTCATAAGATAAGATCTAGGGGGCCTGGATGACCGGCTAAGAGCAATGAGGAGAAAATTGCAGAATGCTGACTTTGTGTGAGGGGACAAGGTCTGAGGCTTCGGCAGTCCCCTGGATATCTCACCTACACCCTCCTGGCTGCATCGGCTTCCTGCAATGTTGGCAAGCCCTCAGAAGCCAGCACAGACGACAGTGGGTTGACCCAGAGCCAGTTCAGTAATGGTGAGGGAAATCATTTTGCTGACCATGTGCTCTAAGGCACTGTGGAAGCAGCCAAGAGTAAGAGTGGTCACCAGCCAAAAGTCACTAGAATCAGCCAGGCAGGCCAGGAAAACCTGGCTAGAGTTTTGTGGCTAGGAGATGCCAACAGAGCTGTGCCCCCCGGAAGCCAGCCTCAGGAGTCTCAGAACCAAGACTGCTCTGCCATGTCTGGCCATGAGCTCCTAGACGTGCCTCCCCAAGGGGAGCCCAGGTACTGCACAAGGCCTGTCTTTCCAACTATCTTCATCTGCTTTCTGCTACTATAACATAATACCACAGGCTGAGAAAATTACAAACAAAAAAATAAAAGTTTCTTTGGCTCATGGTTCCGAAGCTGGGAAGTCCAAGATCAACGGGCTACATCTAGCAAGGGTCTTCTTGCTGTACCACAACTTGGTGGAAGGGCAAGAGATCATGCATGAGAGAGAGAAAGAGAGGACAAGAGGGTCAGAAGTTATAACAAACTCACTTTTGACCTAATCATCTCTTAAAGGGCCTACTGCTCAACACTGTTACAGTGGCAATTACATTTCAATTTGGGGCCTGACGGTGGTGGTGCATGCCTGTAATCTCAACAACTCTGGAGGCTGAGGCAGGAGGATCACCAAGTTTCAGGCTAGCCTCAGTGACTTAGTGAGATCCTTAGCAATTTAGCAAGATCCTTACTCAAAATTAAAATAAAAAGGTCTGGGAATGTAGCTCAGTGGCAAAGGGCCCCTGGGTTCAGTCTTCAGTACAGATGGGAGTTCAGCTCAGTGGTACAGCAATTGTCTAGCATGCAGGAGGTCCTGGGTTTGATCTCCAGCACCAGAAAATAAATTCTAACTTGAGTTTTGGAGGAACCATTCAAACCATAGTTTCAACTGATTTCTACATGGTGGGCTGATATACTCCCATACAGTGAGAGTCATGGAAACAAGGACTTTTAAATCTTGGACCATTTAGACTGTAGGTTCTTGGGCTCAAGGACCCCTTGTGCCTTTCAACTTGTACTTTGCTTCCTTCTAGATAATCCAATTCAGTCATTCAATTCACCCAGTATCTACTGAACATGTGTACTGTTCAGGTACTTCTTTTAAATGCTAGGGATATGATGAATAAGGAAGACATAAACCCTGCCCTCATGGAGTTTACAGTCTGGGGAGAAAGAGTTTCTGGATAAGAAATTACAATTATGATGTATATTAGGAAAAAAAGAGGAAAGAGATTATGGAAAGAGATTAATAAGAGGACTTACATGGTTTAGTGATGTTTCTCAAACATAGTCCCTGAACTACCTACATCAGAGGCATTTCAAGTACATGCTGAAAACTCAGATTCTGGGCCTCCTGCTGGATGTGCTGAGTCAAAATCTTTGAAAATGGGGTACAAAGAATCTGCTTTAAAAAACAAAACAAAACAAAACAAAAAAACTAAGATAAAATTTACATAACAAAACACCAGTCATTTGAAAGTATACATTCCATTTGTACATTCACCATGTTGCACAATCCTTACTTCCAGTCAGTTCTTTTTTTTTTTTTAATATTTATTTATTTAGTTAGTTTTTGGCAGACACAACATCTTTGTTTGTATATGGTGGTGAGGATTGAACCTGGGCCGCACGCATGCCAGGCCATATGGCGTGAGCCACATCCCCAGCCCCAAAAGGCTTTCTTTCTTTCTTTCTTTCTTTTTTTTTTTTTGTGCTGAGAATTGAACCCAGGGCCTTGTGTATGCAAGGCAAGCACTCTACTGTCTGAGCTATATCCCCAGCGCTCCAGTCAGTTCTAAGACATCTTTACTATCCCTCAGGGAAGCTCCTCGGGAAGTCACTCCCCTTTGCCCTTCTCCCTAGCCCCTGCCTACCACCAACCTGCCTTCTGTCTCTGGATTTCCCCGTTCTGGACATTTCGTGTAAATGAGGTCATACACTATGTGATCGTTTGTGTCTCGCTTCTTTCACTTAACACAATGTTTTCAAGGTTCTTTTTAATGCTATTCAATCAATCATCCATTGATGGATATTTGGGTAGCTTCTTGCTTTTGCCTATTATGACTATTACTAGTACGAGCATTCAAATACAAGTGTTTGTTTGAGTTTTGTTTTCAGTTCTCTCAGGTAAATACCTAGGAATAGAATTGCTGAGTTACATTATAATTCTATGTTTAACTTTCTTTTCTTTTTCTTTCTTTTTTTTTCTTTCTTTCTTTCTTTCTTTTTTTTTTTTTTTGATACCAGTACTTGAACCCAGCGACGTTAACCACTGAACCATATCCCCAGCCCTTTTAATGTTTTATTTTGAGACAGGGTCTTGTTAAGTTGCTTAGGGTCTCACTAAGTTGCTGAGTCTTGCTTTGAACTCATGATCCTCCTGCCTCAACCCCCTGAGCCACTGGAATTACCCGTGTGCACCATTGTGCCTGGCTGTGTTTAACTTTTTGAGGAACTACCAAACCGTTTTTCATAGCAGCTGCATCATTTTACATTCCATTAGGAACATGCAAGTGTTTCAGTACCTATTTGTTCTTGCCAACACTTGTTGTTTTCCTTACTATAGTGGGTATGAAGTGGTAACACATTTTGGGTTTGATTTGAATTTCCTTAGTGACTAATGATGATGAGCATCTCCATGTATTTATTGGACATTTGTATGTCTTCTTTGGAGAAATATCTATTCAAATCCTTTGCCCATTTGATTTTATTATTATTGTTATTGTTATTTTGGTAGTGCTGGGGATCAAAACCCAGGGCCTTGTATGTGCTGGGTAAGCACTCTACTACTAAGCCACATCCCCAGAACTTTTGCCCTTTAAAAAAAAAAAAAAAAAAAAAATTGGACTGTCTTTTTGTTGTTGAGTTGGAAGTTATTTTTTTTTTAGTATTTTTCTTAGTTATACATAGACACAATATCATTATTTTGTTTATTTATTTATTTTTTTTGTGGTGCTGAGTGAGGATAAAACCCAGTGCCTCACTTGTGTGAAGCAAGTGCTCTGTCACTGAGCCACAACCCCAGACCCTAGTTGGAAGTGTGTGTGTATATATATATATATATATATATATATATAATATATTCTGAATCCTACATGATTTTCAGATTAATAAATAAAATGGAAAATGTCTTTTTACCTATGTGTGTGGTACTAGAGAGAGATTGTACCCAGAGTTGTGGGGTTTTTTTTTTTTTTTTGATACCGGGGTTGAACTCAGGGGCACTACATTCCTAGCCCCTATTTTGTGTTTTATTTGCTTAGTATTTTATTTGTTTTTTAGTTGCTTAGTGCCTCGCTTTTGCTGAGGCTGGCTCTGGACTTGCAATCCTCCTGCCTCAGCCTCCTGAACTGCTGAGATTACAAATGTGCACCACCATGCCCAGTTTATACCCAGGGTTGGTTGGTTTGTTTGTTTATTACCACTAAGCTATATATTCTGTTTCTTTTTTTTTTTTTTCTTTCTTTTTAAGTTTTGAGATAGGGTCTTGTTAAATTGCCCAATTTGTGATCCTCCTGCCTCAGCCTCCCGAGTCTTTGGGATTATAGTGTGTGTCACCACATTAGCTTCTGTTTGTTTTTGTTTTAGCCATTAAGTTTGTGGTCATCTATTGCATAGCAATAGGAAACAAATACAGACCCAAAGTAAGAGAAGGTTCTGAAGCTAGTATAAGCGGTTTCTTGCTTGGGCCTTATGACCTAGCAGATTCAGCAGTGCTTCAAATGTCTACTGCAGATAAGAATGCTGATGGACTTTCTGGGAATCTCCAATAGAAGAATTCAGATGTAGATTCCTGATTTTTTTTTTTTTTTTGTACTGGGGATTGGACTCAGGGATGCTTTATCATTAAGTTATATCCCTAGAACTTTTTTTTTTTTTTTTTTTTTTTTTTTGAGACAGAGCCTCACAAAGTTGCCCAGGCTGGCCTCAAATTTGTGATCCTCCTGCCTTGACCTCTTGAGTCACTTGATTATAGCCATGTGCCATCATGACTGGCTAGACTGCTAAAAAAATATATTCTTTTTTATTGTAGCTATGCCTTCTTAACATAAATAAAATATTCATGCAAAAAAAAAATCCAACTCCTGGGAAAGAAACTGATGGTATGATCTGGAATGCCAAGTGGAATTACCTATTTATTACAGAGGCTATCCAAAGGATTCACATGAAACAGCCAGATAAAAGAGGTGGATAAAGCTGGGTATGATGGTACATGCCTATAATCCCAGTGATTTGGGAGGCTGAGCCAGGAGGACTGCAAGTTCAAAGCCACCCTCAGCAACTTAGTCAGGTCCTAAGTTAACCCTGTCTCAAAATATAAATAAAAAGGGCAGGGGATGTGGCTCAGTGATTGAGTACCCCTGAGTTCAATCCCTGGTACCAAGAGGGGGGAAAAAAAAGAGGTAGATAGGGTAAGGAACATGGAAAGTGACATGGAGCTTCACATGTTCAGCTATCTGGAAGCCCATTTTATAGGGTGTGAGGTAGGGGTCCAAACTTTTCATTTTATTGTTTTTTTGGGGGGTTACTGGCAATTGAACTCAGGGGCACTCGACCACTGAGCCACATCCCCAGCCCTGTTTAGTACCTTATTTAGAGACAGGGTCTCACTGAATTGCTTAGGGCCTCACTGTTACTGAGGCTAGCTTTGAATTTGTGATCCTCTGGTCTCAACCTCCAAAGCCACTGAGATTACAGGCATATGCCACCCACCTGGCTTCATTTTACTGTTTTGAGTGTGGATTTCCAGTTGTCCCTTAACCATTTATTAAAGAACTAGCCTAGGGCTGAGGATATAGCTCAGTTGGTAGAGTGCTTACCCTGCATTCACAAGGCCCTGGGTTCAATCCTTAGCACCATAAAAAAAAAGAGAAAAAAAGAACAATCCTTTTCCTTGTGAATGGTCTTGGCATTCTTGTCAAAAATCTATAGACCAAGTCAGGTGTGATGGCACATGCCTATAATCAATCCCAGTGGCTCAGGAAGCTGAGATAGGAGGATCGCAAGTTCAAAGCCAGCCTCAGCAACTCAGTCGGGCCCTAAGCAACTCATCCAGACCCTGTGTCTAATAAAATACAAAAAAAAAGAGGGGGGGCCTAAGGATGTGGCTCAGTTGCTAAGCGCCCCTAGGTTCAATCCTCAGTACAAAAAAAAAAAATCTATTGACCATAGATATATGAATTTAGTTCTGGACTCAAAATCTATTCTCTTGATATATGTCTAGCCTTAAGCCAGTATTATACCATTTTGATTACTGTAGTTGTGTAATGAGTTTTGGAATCAGAAAGTTTGAGTCCTCCAACTTTGTTCTTATTCAAAATTGTTTTGGCTTTTAGGATCCCCTGCAATTCCATATGAATTTTAGGATCGTTTTTTCCATTTCTGCACTGAGTCAAAAACTCTGAAGGAAAGCTGGGCATGGTGGCACAGCCCTGTAATTCCAGCTACCAGGAGGTTGAGGAGGGAGGATTGCAAGTTCTAGGCCAGCCTCATCAACATAGCGAGACACTGTCTCAAAATAGCTTAGTGACAGAGTACCTCTGGGTTCAGTCCGTAGGACCACAAGCTAAACTCAGGAATTTCCCCTCTTTTAAATGGTACTGGGGCTTTCTGCATGCTAGACAAGCACTTTCTCATTGAGCTATAACCCAGCCTCCTTTTTTAAAATAATTTTTTTAAATTCTGAGACAATCTCACCTTGTTGCCCAGATTACAGGTGTATCCCACCATGCCCAGCTAGGAATCTGCTTTAAAAGAAAAAAAATTAATTGTGAGTAAAATGAACATAATATAAAATTTACCATCTTAACTATGTAAGTCAGTAAATACAGTCAATGGTGTTAAGTATATTCACATTGTCATGCAATGAATTCCCAGAACTTTTTCATCTTGCAAAACTGAAACTGTACTCATTAAACAACTCGACATTCCCTCACACCAGATCCTGGCAACCATTCTTTGATCTTCTGTCTCTGTGAGCTTCACTCCTCTAAATACCTCATATAAGTGAGATCATGCAGTGTCTTACTGTCACTGGTTCATAAATCTTAGCATAATGTCTTCAAGTTTCATCCATGTTGTAGCATGTGTCAGAATTTCTGTCCTTTTTAAGGCTGAATAATATTTCAGTATTTCTCTCTCTCTCTCTCTCTCTCTCTCGTTTGTTTATATATTCAGCAATCTATGAATGTTTGAGTTGCTTCTACCTTTGGCTATCATGAGTAAAGCTGCTATCAACATGGGAATCCAAATGTCAGTATAAGATCATGCTTTTGATTCTTTTGGATTTATACCCAGAATTGGAATTGCTGAACCACATGATAATTCTATTTTTAATATTTTGAGGGGCCACCATATGATTTTCCATCGAACTGTTCCATTTTATATTTCCACTGACAGTGCACACAAGTTCCAATTTCTTCACATCCTCACCAATACTTGTTATTCTCTCAGATTTTTTTTGACAGTATGAGGTAATATCTTATTGTGGTTTTGATTTGCATAGGAATCTGATTTTTTAAATAAACTTTATCTTCAAGCAATTTTAGATTTACAGGAAAGTTGTAAAGATAGTACAGAGAATTTCTGTGTATCTCTCATTTGGTTTATAAAAGAGAACTCACTAATGTTGTAATCTTACTTTCCATGGTACTTTGTCAAAACTGGAATCTAGTTGGGCATAATGGCACATGTCTATAATTACAATGACTCAGGAGGCTGAGGCAGGAGGATTGCAAGTTTAAGGCCAGCTTCAGCAACTTAGAAAGGCCTTTAGCATCTTAGAGAAATCTTTGCGTCTCAGAAACCAAAACTCCCTGGGAATCTGCTTTGTGATGAGCCCAAACACATAGTGATGTGTGTGTGTGTGTGTGTGTGTGTGTGTGTGTGTGTGTGTGTGTGTGTGTGGGTGTGTGTGTGTGTGTGTGTGTGTTTTGCTGGGTATTAAGCCCACAGCCTCACACATGCTAAGCAAGTGCTCTACCCCTAAACAACTCCCCAACCCACACAGTGATTCTTACATGTACTAAAAACCCACTGATTTAGGGATCAGAAAAGTTTTTTCAGAGAAATGCATTTCAGCAGTTACTTGAAAGACAAGTCTAAGTGAGTAAAAGAAATGGGATATGATCCAGGCAGATGGAACAAACTGTGTCAAAGCCTGGGGGTAATAAAGAACTTGGAGCATTTGAGGATAATCATAATAGCAATAATAGTAATTTATTGACACTTACCATATGCCAAGCACTAGTAAACACTTTAGAAAATTATTATACCTAATTTTTCACAATAACTCTATAAACTGGGAAATATTATCTTTTCTATTTTATAGATGAGGCAACTGAGAGTTGAAAGAAGTAACTTGTCCAATGTCACCCAAAATGGCTAAAGTAGAACTTGAACTCAAGCCCCTTCCAATTCCTTTTCTCCCACTAGGCCCCAGTAAAATTTATTATCTACTTGCAGCAAGGAACAAAGCATTAAACACATGCTCTTCCTGTCTCCTGTCTACTCTCCTACTCTCTCCCTCAAACTTTGTACCCTTCAGGGCTCAGAGAAGCCTTACTATTCTAGTTAACGGGAGCGCTCAACAACTGAGCCACATCCCCAGTGCTATTTTGCATTTTATTTAGAGATAGGGTCTTACTGAGCTGCTTAGCAGCCTCATTTTTGCTGAGACTGGCTTTGAACTCGCAATACTCCTGCCTCAGCCTCCCAAACTGCTGGGATTATAGGCATGTGCCATTGCGCCGCCCTGAGGCCTTACCATTCTAAAGTTGTTTCTAACTGTTATTCTGTTTTATTGAATTGATAGGTAAAGGAAAGAATGAGAAAAACAAAGAGCATTAGTAAAATTTTGCAATTATAGATTCATTTTTATATCTGTGTAATGCCTGTCTCTTTTACTGCCAACCCTGAAATGGCAAGGATCCCGTCTGATTGATTCACCTGATACCGGTAGATGCATGCTAAATATGTAGTTCACATGGAGTAATTGTAGGAACTCAACAAATTTTGGATGTTGGATGAGTAATTTTTATTTTTGAGAAAAAAGAAAAAAATGGGTTGCTGGATTCTATTTAAGATATCAATTATAATCTCCCTCTCTCTCCAGCAAAAACTTCACTTGCCCATCCATCATATCCCATAGACAGTGCCAGTAGTTTTGTATGAAGAGAGAGAAAAAAAAAAAAAAAAACAACCTTGGTCTGACTGACCTAAGAAACATCTCTTTGAGACACGGCATCTGATAGAAGAAAAAGTTGGTTATGATCTACATACTGTGGGATCGGGCCCCAAATTCCTCAATAGGACACCCA